AGGGAGGGTAGGAAAAAGCTATGCCAAAAAAAGATATACAATAATAGAATACTACTTTGTTCTGCAACAAAAAAATATTTCATAGTCATGATATTTTAAATATATATATAACTAATTCAAATAAAATAATAAAATAACTATGTTGAAAAGATGGAGGGGAGACAGAAGGAAAACAAATGGAAGAGTTAAAGCCTCATCTTTACCATAAGAGCAAGTCAATGCATAATGTTTAAAACTGATGAATCAATTACTATAATATTTGGAGAGAGGGAGTAATTACCAGAAGAGATGGGTAAAGGAATTAAATATGGGAGCAAGGCTAGAGAGTAATGGATGTGGGAAGAGTTAGGCAGGGGACTGTTATTCCTGTTTACATCTTCTGATACAATTTGATGTTTTTAACCATGAGCATGTATTACTTGGACTTAAATATGTTTAACTATCAAAAGGTATAAATAATGGTACCTTTTATTCCACAAAGCAAGCTTTGCATGTAGGGTGAGAAGGTTTCGGGCACGTTTCGACCCACAGATAATACAGGATGAGTTTCCAGGGCAATTCTGCGGCAGTAAGCGGAGTAACTTCTAAACGCCCAGATAAGGGCAGCGGCCGCTCAGATTTAGAGAACCGAGGGCCACGCTAAGGAGAAGGGCGCCTGGGCACCGAGAGGCCGCTGTCACGAACTAGTAGACAGAGGAGAACAAGCCAGATTTCCCCGTCTCTTTGGAGATCCAAAGAGTTGGCGCCCACTGTTATTAGTGAGGGTTAGCTTCTGCTTAAGGTTATCAAAATCTAAAAACCAAACCCAAACAGAATCTTTCTCACGTGAATATTTCTGGTAATGTGATAGTTCCCTGCATATTCTTCTATAACAAAGGCTTCCCATCCGTCAGCTCTGATGACCATAATAATCACTAATGTTAGTTTAGAACCATTTTTGTACTTTGAAAACTTTAGAGTTACCAAGCGCTTTCCTGTACCTTATTTCATCTCGTTCACAAAATGACCCTAGGATATAGGTTGTGCAAAGTACTACGGCAGTCACCCCCCTTTTACAAACTTGTACAGTTTACATAGCTAATTAAGTAGCAAGGACCCTTGAATTCAACTGTGTCCACGGATTCCAAACCTTGCGCCCCGTTCCTGACCTCACATGCCTGAACTACAGGCTAATCTATTAAACTGGTGTCAACGGACTGCCCATATACAGGGACACCATAGATATCTACACAAATTATGACCAACAAACACAGAGGATCCTCCCTTAAAGCGCCTGGCGAAATGGGAAGCCTCCAGTCCTAAAGGAGGCTTAGGCTTAGGTGCAGAACATCTTGTGTTCACGGAGCAGGTGAACCGCTCAGCCTGCACCAAAGACCAAGCCCACGAAGCCTCTCCGTGGGATTGTGTGACTTTGCTGGGAACCTCCCTACAGAAGAGGGATCGCAGACAACGGGTGCCGAGCGGTTTCCATCTACCTCGCCCGCCTCCCTGACGGCCCCCTGGCTTCCTCTCGCAGGCCGTGTTGTTCAGGTGCTGCAATCGCTGGCGCGTGTGTTCAGGTGAACTGCGCGCCGTGTCGCAGCCGTCTGCTCCTTAGACAGTGGGTCCCGTGAGGGCTGTCCCTTGTCCTAGTCATCTCTGGGTCCCTAATTACTTAACACAACACCTAGTGCTTCACAAAAGCACAATAATATCAGGTGGGTGGATGCATGTTTTATTTGGGGGCTGTGTGAACCCTCTTTTGTCTCCAGAAGCCAAAAGGATAAAACGGTGTTAGAAATGCACCTTGTACACAGGACACCCCGAGCCCCGGCCGCTTACCTCCTGGGTGAGTCAGGGTCAAAGCAGGTCTTGCGCACGTCGGTCACCTCGGGGTCACAGCAGTCCCCTTCGTCGAAGTCGTTCAGCATGTTGTTGCACTCCGCGTGGCAGAGCCCATCCCTGCGGTTCCAGGAGTAGCACCGGCCCTGCAGGCTGCAGTCACCCCCGTCGTAGCCGGTGAGTGGGTGGTCACACTCCGGGTCACAGTGGTCATTGCCGATCTTGCTGGGCTCACAGCTGACGAGCACTGTGCGGTGGCGCAAGGTGGAATTGTGGACCTGGTAGACGCTCAGCTGCCAGGTGATGTTGTAGCGGCCAAAGGCTTCATTGAGCACCTCGTGCTGCAGGCTGATCTGCTGGTCACTCACGGTGGGGTTCAGCCCCTCGTCGTCACAGACGTTCACCACCTGGTAGCGTATCACCTTCTCTCCCCGAAGCGGCCAGTGCCCATTGTAGTGGGAGATCAGTTCCACATTGTCACATGCTGTCTGCCCACAAAGTGGGGGGCGCAAAGGTGACACAAGCTCAGGCTTGGGCTCAAAACCCTGGAGAACCTCAAGCCGGGGGTACTTGTCATCTCTAAAGGGGGCCCACTGTTCTTCCAGGCGCTCAAAGCTGGCTGTCAGCACCAGGGTGGTCAGCTCCATTGTGCTTGGATGCCGAGGACGGTGCTGGAGTTGGCTTTGTGAGAGGGCCATTGACCAGAGGGCCAGTGTGCCCAAGTGTCCACGGAAAGAATGGCCATTCTCAGAGCTATCCCCACCCAGGAGCAAAGAACGACATGACGCCATGAAGGGGCTGTTAAGGGGACCAGATTGATCTGGACTGCTAGCCACCTGAGTGCCATCCACATACAGGGCCATACGCCGTCCATCGTAAGTGGCTGCCAGGTGTGTCCACGTGCCTCCCTGGTAGCGACTGTGGCCGATCACAGTGGTGGCCCTCTTCACGCGGTCAGTGCGAAGTGAGAAGAAGAAGCGAGCGTCTCGCCTTCCCATGTCCTCCCCTGAGCGGATCCCCAGGGTCCAGCCCCTGTCACTGACAGTATGGGAGCAGTTATCAAACATGCCTGGGAAAGAAGGAAGAATCGAGGGGAGAAATACCAGATACAAAGGGGGATGGAGAAAAGGGGAGAAGAAAACCCATGTGAATAGCAAGAATGTAGGTTTTTAACGGAAAAAAAATTAAGCAACACAGATTCCCCACCTCAGGTACCTGTCCAGTGCCCCATATCAAGCCATTCTGGCAAAGTCTGTCCCTAAAAGGAATCTGATTTGGGCTTCTATCACATTTAACTCATTTTGGCATTTTAAAACAACCAAATGAGAAGTTGTAAAGGGGATGAATAATGCAAGTGACAACCATCTCTAGAACTTAGTCACAGGTGGTCCTTATGCTGACTTCGAGCCCACGCCTTCTCTCCCTGGTCCTTGCCCCTTCCTTTTCTTCGAAGCCATGAGGACAGTCACAGTTTTTACAAAGGCCAGTAATCTCCCACCCCCTCAAAAAGTCATTTTCTGTACTGAATATTAAGTGATGATTCTCCTGGGGAAAAGGAGTTGGTGAATCAGGGGATCCCATCAGAGAAGACAATGACATCCCAGACGCCTTTCCCAGCCTGCTATGCTCTCTAGCATCTAAGGGCCAGGACACCCATCCACAAAGAACAGATGTTGCCCAGAATAGGAAAAATGAAATTGCCCCATGGCCCTAGCCTGAAAACTTAGTCAAGTCAGTGATAATAATGACTGGTCTAGGTCCAGCGATGCCCACCATAGTACGGAGCAGAACTTGCCCGGAGACATGAAGATCCTCCCCAAAGGCTACCTTACTGCCTTGCTCCACGTAAGCGCAAGACTATGAGGTTCAACTGAATAAAAGGAAGGGCCACCTGTAGACAACCTGGCAACTGGAAGGAGTAGGAAGTTCAGATACACGAAGGCAGTTTGGAGGCCTTAAATGTTGCCACCTTTGGTCATGAACCCACCATCTCCTCCCAGCAGTCTCTTCTATACACGGCTCCATCCCTCTAACCCGGAGGACGTGAATGGAGAATCATTTGATTCCCTTCTCCCGCAAGGCTGAACAGACCAGTCTGCAGTTAGGCTGCCGTTGCAGTCGGTGCTCAGACAAACACAGATTCAGCCCCAACACTGAATCTATAACCCAGAAGCTCCGTGCTCCACCCCTCGCTGGTAGGAAGAAAATCATGCTTGGTCACTTGAAGGGATGTCACTCTACTAAACCACACAGGGTCTGCATTTCATCTCACTGTCACTCTCCTCCTGGAAAAAGGAATTCCACCTGGAATTAGTGATTTCAGTTCATCAAACATTTACTGAACTGCCAGACACAGACACTCTTCTCAGCTGTGAAAGGAAAGGGGGCCTTTGCCCTTGAAAAGTCTCACCGGGAAGTGAGAAACGTAGAAGGTCACTTCAATATAATATCAGAATTCAGACCAAGGTTACACATAGGTGAGTAAAAACAGAGCCAAATCTCAACCCACAGGTCAGAGAGGGTTTCCTGAGGGGATGAGACCCAAACCTACTCTTGAGGAGTAAGAGTTGGCCGGGCAAAAGAATTACAGAAGATATTCCACCCAGTGTGGACAGTAGGAACAAAGGTACCTGGGGAAAAACAGGTCAAGGTAGGTCTTGTATAACATAGTAAGGGGCTTGGACTGAAATACATGGAGGTTTTTTTGTGGCTGTTAAATGCCTCTGGTATCCTGAGAGTACGCAGAGTAACTGTAGCATGAAACATCCCATGGTTGTTGGCCTTGCTCTGCACACTGGTCCAACTGCAATTAAGACATCTCAGGGACTTTCCGAAGCTTGTAGGGACAAGCAGGACATGAACACCACGGGAGGACCCATGCACGTGTTCAGTAGATATGCGTGAAGAAATGCCAGCTGCCAACCTCAGTACTTGGAGCCGGGGATTTGTACAGTGATTAAATGTTTGTTTGACATCATGGAAAGTTCAGTACAGTGCAGAAGACGAAGCTTAATAAATAACTACAATAAAATATGCTGACCGTTGCAAGTCTAAGTAGCTATGAACCTCTTTATTAAAACATGGACATAATATGGCAAAAACTCTCCCTAAAGTTACAAATATCAACTTGCCGACACTGATCCATTCTGTTAATAATTTCATTCCTAGAAGAAATTCACCCCCAAATCTGCCCATGAAACTAGGGCTACCCTGATTACCTGTCAGATTGTCTGGGAAGGTTAGGAAGACCTAAACCCAAAGGATTCCAAGGGATACGTTTAGACAATCCCAGATCAAATGTTCTGCCAGTTCACCCAGAAACATTCACTCTAACATTCGTTAGAACCTGTGTTTATATGAAATATCCACTTCAGCTGAATCTTCTAAACTGGGACACATGGTGTTCTTTTAATAAATATTTCTTCCTTCACTTCTTAGCATGCAATGATATCTCTCACTCATATAGTACTTGAGCTTTCCAAAGCCATTTTATATAAACTATCATTTAAGCAGTAAAGCTATCCTGTGACCTAGGCAAGATTATCATCACTAACGTCATTATATAGACAAAGCTACCAAGGCTCTGAGAGGTCTGGTGGCAGGCTGGGTGCAGACAGAACCAAGGTGTCATAATGCTGAGCCCAGGAAAGTTTTCTACAGTGGAAATAACAATATGGTGGTTACAAGCAGGACTCAGCCACAAGGTCCAGTCCATAGTCTGCCACATATGTGTCATGTGACCTCAGAAAAATTACATCACCTTGCTGAGCCTCAGTTTACTCATTTGCAGACTGTGCCTATAGAATAAAATTTGTCCATCTCTGGTCTGTTCTTCAGCATCCTTCAACCATAAGCTGAGATCACAGACCTACCTCATGAGGTGGCTGTGAGAATTAAATAGAAGAACACATGTGGGAAATCTCAGCACAGTGCCCACCTGACACAAAGTGATTGACAAACATTGGCTATGATGCTAAGAAGAGGTTTGAGAATGAGCTATCAAAGGGAAATCAAATTAGATATAAAGCCAGTGTTACGCTGGTTCATGTTTAATAACTAGTCCTCTGAAGGGGGAAAAAAAAACACAAAAATGCTAGTCCTGATTTGCAGCATTTGCCAATTTCTATGGTATAAATATTCCCCCAATGGTCAATTTTAAGTTACCAATAGGATGTCATTGAACATAGGGTTTGGAAGAGATGTTATCATTGGCTCTGGTGAGCCAAGCTGAGCCAGTTCCACTGCTATAAAGACTAACAAGGAAGCCTGGCCAGGTTCAGTGGTTGAGCATCGACCTAGGATCCAGGCGATCGCTGTTCAATTCCCGGTCAGGGCACATGCCCGGGTTGCGGGCTCGATCCCCAGTAGGGGGCCTGCAGGAGGGAGCTGATCAATGACAACTCTCTCATCATTGATGTTTCTATCTCTCTCCCCCCCTCTCCCTTCTTCTCTCTGAAAATATACAGCTCTTGTATCTTTTACCAACATTACCTCAAAATGGATCATTGACCTAAATGTGAAACGAAAAATTACAAAACTGCTAGAAGACACACACAGAACAAAACCTAGATGACCTTGGATGTGATGATTCCTATTTAGATACAACACCAAGACACCATCCATGAAAGAAATCATTTATAAGCTGGATTTCATCAAAATTAAAAACTTCTGCTCTGCTTAAGACAATCTCAAGAGAGCTAGAAGATAAGCCACAGACTGGAAGAAAATACTTGCAAAAGACGCATCTGATAGAGGACTGTCATCCAAGATATACAAAGAACTCTTAAAATTTAACAGCAAGGAAATAAAAAACCCAGTTTTAAAATGGGCCAAAGACTCTAACAGATACTTCACCGAAGAAGATATACAGACCGCAAATCGGCGTATAAAAAGATGCTCCACATCATGTGTCATCGGGGAGATACGTGTTAAAACAACAATGAGGTGCCACTACACATGCATTAGAAAGGCCAAAAGCCAGAACACTAGTCGTGCAAAATGCTGGCAAGGATGTGGGACACAGGAACTCCGTTTCACTGTGGGTGGGGATGCAAACTGGAGCGGCCACTTTGGAAGACAATTTGGCGGCATCTTAAAAAACTAAACACACTCTCACCATATGATCCATACGCTCCTTAGTATTTACCCAAGGAGCTGAAGACTCTGCCTACACAAAAACCTGCACGCATATGTTTACTGCAGCTTACTCACAACTGCCAAATCTTGAAAGCAACCAAGACGTCCTCAAGTAGGTGAGTGGATAAATTAACTGTATCAGGCCATGGAAAGACGTGGAAGAAACATAAATGCTAAATGAAAGAAGCCAATCTGAAAATACTACTGTATGATTCCAACTATGTGAAGTTCTGGAAAAAGCAAAAATATGAAGACAATAAAATGATCAGTGGTTGCCAGGGGTGTGGGGAGAGAGAGGAAGGGGCAGATCAGAGGATTTTTAGGGCAGTGAAAATAATCTGTATGATATTATAATGATGGAGATATGTCATTATGTTTTTGCCATACACACAGAATGTGCAGCGCCAAGTGTGGACCCTCAAGTAGACTAGGAACTTCAGGTGATTATAATGTGTCAATGTAGGTTCTATGTTGGTTAAAAAAAAAAAAAAAAAAAA